TTATATAACAAATATTTTTTTTTGGTTTCTACTACAGATTATTCAATACTTGTATATTACGTAAGTATCTATTCGCTTGTATCCCTGGATTAAAAAACAACTTATCAGCTTTGAATCACAAGCTCCAATGTGTTTCTTATACAACGTTTGTTGTTATTTTTAATTCTTAATTATAAAACCAACTTTTACATTTCTATAACTAATTTATAAGAATACTATATTACTTAATTCTAATTAAATGATTTGACAATTTACATATTTTATACAAGCATTTATTATCACGAAGATCAATTACTGGTTTTTAGTTTTGTAGTTAAAAATAAAAGAATAAAAAATAAATAAAACACTTACAATCATAAATTTAAATTAAACACCTACATAGAAATTTAAAACAACAAGCTTTTAGCTATTACTTAAATATATAATTATTTTTCAGAACTACATACTATATATAATACACTTTTTTGTCTAAAAAAAAAGTTATAACTCTTAATGAATATTTTACTTATATTTAAGGTTGTCTTGAATTATGACCCAGGCATTTTTTAAACTAAAAAAATTTCTTAAATTCTCACCATGACAAACAGTGAAAACTATAATAATAAATTATAAAGATCATATTACCTTTGAGGTGTTACATACATAATTAAATTACTATTACCAATAGATTAAATTAATACATTTTTAATTATTTTATTTTTCAAATACGTGTTAAATTTAACTGTCATTAAATAATGTTCAATGGGATAATTTTAATAACAAACCTATGTGATACACGTACCAACAGCATATATAGAATATATACAGAAATATAAATACAAATACACAATAATCGATTTATAAAAAAAAAAATATTTAAGTATAAAAATTAGTGTACTAAATACAACATTATAAATGTAACAAGTGTAAGCTTTGTTTTCATTTTCCTATCCCTGCAATACAAAATCCATTGAAAGATACAATAAATCATTTATTACACGTCAAAAATATCTAATGACTAATCTGAAGTTACTTATTTGATACATCATTTATTAAACTGATAATTAATATTGATATTATGATTAATGCGGTATCAACTAATTCTTGTTTTAAACAAATTATATTATAGATACAAGTTTAATTATATACCAGGATAAACTTACCGACGCTTATCAAAATTCCATTTCCATTTTTGATCATTCAAAGTCTTTAATAATTTCAGTACGTCGAAGAATAAAAATTATTTTTTTTTTTTTAGAATAACAGCTAGACTAAATACAATATTGATAAAAATAACTTCTTAAAACTTCTTTATAAATATTACAGTTCAAATTAAAAAAAAAAAAAAAAAAAAAAAAAAAAAAGGGACAACAGAAATAAATAAAAATAAATAATACAGAAATCCAATAAATTCCTTGCTCTACGTAGTACGTACTCCGAGTCATCTATTCACTGTTTGAAAACAAAACTAAAAAAAAAAAAGTTCAATTAAAAATGAATACCAATGCTAACACCGTACATAGTTCTCGGTATTCCTTGTGTAAGTTAACACGCTTTTGTTAATTAACTGCACTATGGGCGAATCAATACTCCCGGAGTAATCAGCACAAGCACTTCAGATGCATGTAATTCCTAATACGTTATCGACTTTCAATAATTATGCTGCTAAACTACGATTTTATATACGTTATATGTCATAAGCATAACATTAAATTGTAGGTATAATATCGAATCGATATTTAATGGTATACGCATGTATTTCAACTAATCATATGTGATCAAGTGAACTAATTAGTTTTGACTGACGTACAAAAATAATTCATACTTCGTATCAAAATAGACTCACATTTTAATTGAAGTGTTGAGTGTATCCAAGCATGGAGTCACATATAAAATAATATTTCTCATGAAAAATGCATTTGAATTTCCACTTTATTTTCAATAAATATAATCAATAATCGTGAACCGAATAGATTTTATTATCAATACATTCGTTTTTTTTTTTTTTTTTATTATTCATTAATATATTGCTCTACAATCTACATGTATAATATATTACTTAAATTGTACGTTCAATAAATCACAATGAATCATCGAAAAATATATAGAAATTATTAAATGTGATTTTTTCAATCATTTTCCCAAAAAAGTTTTAATGTAGTTAAATGAGTTTTTCAGACAACGTTACATACACAAATATGACATTATATGCATAACAAAAAATAACATAACATACTCGTATATGTTATTATTTAATTTTCATATTTATTTGAAATAGATTTGTTTAATTTTGAATACCCAAAGACAAATTAAGATTTGACATTTTGATGTCAACATTAAAATTTCAGTAATCAGCATTCTAATTTCTTAGGTTATCATTTATCATTATACAACGCTATAAATTAAAAGTGATTTCTATATTACAAACATCAATTTCAACATCTAGACTGCTATATTTGACATTATCTGACATTTTTCTTTTAGACTTGTTAAAATTAAAAACGTTCAAAATAATGAATTCAATTCCTAAAATTGAATATTTTAAATTGCGTCCATGATAACAAAAAATGTATCTTTACTATCTACAGGATACACTGTACAAATCGTTTTCATGAAAATATTAATCTTTAATATCTATCACAAAAACCGACTGTTGCTTCATTGGCTTCAAAGTATATTAAAATTAAAGTATTAAAATCATTACAGATATGAACCAATGGTTAATTATTGCATTATAAAACACTTTTGCATGAAATTCTAGTTTTTAAAAGTATTTATATAAAGCAATAAATTTATTAAAGTGGACTCTACTTAAAATCAGTTTTTAAAGGCTATAATTTTAAATTAATAGATCACTGGCTCTGCTTGAAGAGGAAGCTAGTAAATAATATCAATATCTTTCTGCTCTATAAATATTATATTTAACATAATATATTTTATAATACTAGAAGTTTTTGATTAATTTTATAAATTAATCAATCAAATTAAGATTGTTATAATCCGAAAATTTAAATTTATATATTTTTATGATCGTAACTTATGGATTTTTGTTTTTTGTGACTGCAATTCTTTTGTAGTATTATATTTTTGAAATATATTCGAATAATATATTTCGGTTATGTTTGTGGTATATCCAAAAATATTATTAATATTAATGTTTTTCTTTTTCCGTTATAAAGTAGCTATTATATTATTTACATATATTTTGTTAACTGTATATGTTGAAATTGAACCTCTACAATATACCCTACTTTATTTTTCAACTTGAAATATTAAGACAATATTGTTTTAAGTGGTATAAGCTTTTGGAAATATACACGTTATGTAAATTCATTTAAAATTCAAATCAGAATAATTAATTGTTTTTATTAAAAGAATTACACAATTTACATATTAAACTAGGTATTTCATAAATATTTTATTCTGAAAATTTTCCAAGATAAGCACGATTCCATACAGAATTTTAACAATGTAATATTTAATAGTTATAAATGGCTACGACTTACTAAATTTTCATATCTCTTTTGTTACTTCCTTCAAAAATATCCTACTTTTACATAAATCACACTTATTAATTTTTATAACTATTTTTAGTAGGTACATATAATATATTATATACTCTTATCGAATTATATATTACCATTAAATAATCATTATAAAAAAAAAACAAATAAATAGTTAAAACATCAGTGATCAAAGTATAAAAATATTAAACGAAATATTCCTCTTGAGATTTTATATCCTAAAAAATATCGGTTAATAAAATAAAAATTAAGTTAAATAAATGCAACATTAAATCAACATAAAAGTTTTTAAAAGTTATATTTCTTCCAAGGAATTTAAATTGTAAAGATTGACTTTGTAAATGGGAGTATCACGTTATACACACCAAAAAAAAAATCTCAATAAAGAAAAAAAGGATTATTAATATCAATTTGTATATTATTATTAATTATTATTATATACTTATTATTTACCTACTTCAAACGTATTTTTCGCTTTGATTAGGTAGAAATGTATTTTTTCTATTGTATAATTATATAATAATATGTATTATATATCCTTTGAACTTTATTCAACTTCAGCATTGCATATACCTTTATACAAAAGTACAAAAACGCTTTTTTTCATAAATCGTTTTATATCAAAATTCAAACAATGATCCGTTAATATTTTCCAAACGAAAATACTATTAAATATTCACAGCAGAGAGTATTTTTATTTTTAAAGCAAAAAAAAAAAATAGAAGAAAAATGTGGAAAGGTAGAGTAAGTAAGTGGCAGGTAATCCGCGAAAAGTGGCCTGAATCTACTCATTTAGAATGCCAGCCAGGCGTTATACATATTATTCGGATGGTCTTGAAAACCCGAGACGGTCTCTCGTAGTAGACTATGCTATTAGCAGAAATTTGCGTAACTCGACTATAGTGCGTACAGAGTAGGGTTACGTGTGAATTAAGTATCAGCCGTTAATATTTAAAGTTGCCTTGGGTATTATAATATGAAGAATAAATTTATTTGGTGCCTACCACTTACGTGCACATACAAAGAAAACAATATTATTATAACAAATATGATTATAATTTATTTAAATAACCAGTATTTATAGAACAAAGTCATGACCTATATTTTTGGTTCATAACATATCAATATTGATTATTTTTGTTACTATGAAGACATTATTAAAACATCGAAAGACTAATAGCTACCCAAATAAAAAAGTGCTATTATATACCTTTTATTTTAGTAAATTTGTAAAATTGTATAAAACTTGATATTTTTCACTGTGTAGCTACAAAGATAATATTAAGTGACGGGGACCGATAACGTAGTGTTTGATTTTATCTTATTATTGGTGAAATATATATTGAACATAAAAACGTGTAATCAAATTTATCATAATTTTGGATGGTTTTAATTAAAAACGTTATAAAATGTCTATCAAAATTAAATGAAGTTCTTAGTAATTAATATTATATCAATTAAATATATATATATATGTTTGATTTTTTCTCATTCTAGGGAAATGTAATGCAACAACTACTATCATTCCATTTTCTTTTAGAGTTGATCACAACTGTACCCTTTATTTTCACAGTTAGTATCTATTATTTATTTTTAATTTTGACGAATTTATCAATAACATAATCATTTTATTCTTTTACAGATTTTCCAACCAACATTGATCAACCTTTTCATACCAGTTTTTCTAAACTGTTGGTTGGCGAAAAAATCTTTAGAAAATATGTTTGTCAGTGAATATTATTAAATTCATCGTTAATAGTGTTATTACACTTTCGTTATGTTATTTTGTTTTAGAACGATCTTCACCGAGCTATGCAAAAATCTCAATCAGCGCTGTCCCAGCAATTAATGATACTTTCAGCCACACTTCTCTGTTTAGTATTTACTAGGTGGGTTCTAAGTAATATATACAGGTGTATATTAATTACTTATGATTATGTTAATCTGTAGTGTATGCGGTATACAACATTTCCAAAGAGCTGGCCATAGGCATCTAAGCCTCTTTCAAGCTACTTATTATGTAGTGGTCACGTTTTCTACAGTTGGGTACGGTGACTTCGTACCAGACATTTGGCCTTCTCAGCTCTATATGGTTGTTATGATATGCATAGCACTCATCGTTCTTCCGACACAAGTAAAATCTAAAAAGCAATCAGTCACTTTCACTGTTAATGTTTAACTGAATTTAATTATAATTAATATATGTGTTTATTATTTTAATTTATAGTTTGAACAGTTAGCGTTTACATGGATGGAAAGACAGAAACTTGGCGGTTCTTATTCATCTCATAGAGCACATTCTGAAAAACATGTAGTTGTCTGTAGTACAACGCTTCAAGCTGACACAATTATGGATTTTCTTAATGAATTTTACGCACATCCATTACTTCAAGTTGGTGCATTGTCATAATATTAATCGGATCTAGTTTTAATTAAAAATCTATAGAAATAGCTACATAGTACGTAGCTGTAATAAGTAACATAATATATTAACTACATTTATTAAGTTTAAAGCTTTAAGGCAGAAAATTAAGTTTGTTTAACTAATAAACTGTAATGAGAATTAAAATTTACTGTCACGGTGAAAGTTCGAAGAAAATAAAAATTCTAAACCATATTATGGATTTTAATAAATTTTAATATTATAAATAGTGTAATCACTCCAATTATAATCAATTAAATAAATATTGTTTATCATAGTTTGATGTTCAGTTTTGATAAAATGTAAATATGATTTATAAGTGCACATTCTTTACAGACGTTGATTTATAGTCAGGCCAGGATTATTTTATTTATTTAGTAGGCATATAAAGAACCATACATGTTATTAAATACCATCATAATATCATTATGTATAATATCTTATTGCATTTACTTTATTATTTTAATAATTAAATTTATAAATTAGTTGTTATTTTCTGATTTAAGGCAATTTTAAATTTTTAAGCGTATTAATTTCATCTATTTACATTTTATTAACAAGCATTATTGCATTTCCATAACACTGTTAAAATTTACAAATTTATTCTATAATTAAAATGTTGATCAATGTTCTACATTATGCCTTGCTAATCTAGTTTTAGTTATATATTTAGTAATATTAATCATGGTAAAATTATATCATTAAATTTAATTAAAACGCACTTCTTTGATATTAAAAAAAAATTTAAAAATTCGTCGTTAAATAAAAATATACAATATTTAGATACCGCCATACCTATCGTAAAAATTAAATATTATATAAAAATTTGAGATACAAAATATATTTCTTTTTCAAATCAAGTATTCGATTCTAAATCGTAGAAATTAATAAAAAAAAAATCTCATTAGGTATTTTAAGCCTGTACTTAAAAAAAAAAAATTATGAAATAAACTGACTTATATTAGTAATTTATTATATTATATTGCTCATTTATATAAGCCTTATTATTCTTACTATCATTATTAGGACTATTTTGTGGTCCTATTATCACCAATGGAACTGGATACCACAATGAGAATGATTCTCCAAGTACCTATTTGGGCACAAAGAGTAATTTATATCCAAGGATCGTGTTTAAAAGATGGAGATCTGTCCAGAGCTAGAATGAGTGACGCTAAAGCTTGTTTCGTTTTGGCTGCTAGAAATTATGCGGACAAAACTGCTGCAGTAAATATTTTCTATTAATTAATTTATCGAAAATGAAATTATAATTCATACTGTATACAAAAAGGATGAACACACGATTTTGCGATCGTGGGCCGTCAAAGACTACGCTCCAACTGTTCCTCAATATGTTCAAATTTTTCGGCCAGAAAATAAATTACACGTGAAATTTGCTGAGTTTGTTGTATGTGAAGATGAACTTAAATACGCTCTTCTTGCTAATAACTGTACGTGCCCTGGAGCTTCAACACTAGTTACACTTCTACTGCATACAAGTAGAGGACAGTTAGTATTTTACTTTTATAACATTTAAAACTATTTTCGGTAATCTAGTAAAACTGCTACTTATGGTGGATTAAAAATAAAAGTCCACCTGTATTATGAATCAAAATAAACTACGTTCGATAATATGCAAGACGTATTAATGTATATTTTGTATAACTTGTGTACAGGGAAGGTCAGACTTCACCTGAGGAATGGCATAGGCTGTATGGTAGATGTTCAGGAAATGAAATCTACCACATACTTTTAGGAGACAGTAGATTTTTTGGTGAATACGAAGGCAAAAGTTTCACATACGCAAGTTTTCATTCACATCGAAAGTAAATCATCACAATCGAAATAAAAATTAATTAAAACAAAAATAATTATTAATTTCAATCTTAGATTCGGTGTATCATTAGTGGGCGTGCGGCCTGCTGATTTACCAGAGTTTTACGAAGACACAATACTTTTAAATCCTGGGCCTAGGCATATAATGAAAAAATCCGATATATGTTATTACATTAGCGTTAATAAAGAAGAAAATTCATCGTTTGTTGTTTCAAATAATGGTTCAGCACCTTCAAAACACCTTGATAGTATGTTAAATAATGGTAAGTAGGTAGATATTATTTACATTTGAGCCAGTATACGTATAGTTCATATAAAACTGTAAATTATAATAAACTTTGATTTTAGATAAGCCCACAGAAGTTCAAAAAACTATTAGAGAAAGCTACACGTTCCAAAACAAACAAACAGAAGAACCGACAATCGTAGGTAATCATTTGAATATCCCTAAACCAATGGATATGAACCCGAATTTATTGAGCCCTGAAGTATTAGGTCAAAGAAGAGGTGATGATGATTCGCTAAATTTATAGAGAAAAACATAAAGCTTTTCTATTTCTATATTTAGGTAGTCGCCGTCCAAGTATATTACCAGTGGCTGAAAACATAACAGGTTCGTCATTAAACATATCTGTACCTCAGCCAGAAGAAGATGGAGATGAAAGCGAAGATGAGCTGGAAGATGAGGTTCCATGGAGATCGCCGAGTGAAAAAATAGCGTAAGGATAAACATAATAACGTAAATTACAAATGTATGATATATACCTTATAATTTTCATGCATTTTGATTTTGTGTGATTGTTAGTTTATGCTGTATCCTTGCTTGAGGGTGATTTAAATAATAAACTGACCACGTATTAATAAGTCCTGAAACTCAAATTCACAGTCAACTACAAAATATAATTATTGTATTGAAGTATTAAGCCAATATATTGAAGTTAAATAGTATTTGTAGTTTTGATTAGTTTAAAAAACCGTGCAATATAATAAGCTGAGTCATACAATCAAAAATACAATTTCTAAAGTAGTTTAGTAAAGAAGTTTGTAATTTATTAGAAAACGTAAACATTATCTCAATAAATAAGCATAGAAAATTCTTATGTAAGGCATATAAAGTTTGATGAACCCATTGAAACAATATAGTACAAATTCCTTATCTTTATTTTTTTTTTCTTTAGAACGAAATAAAGTGTCCCCTGTGTATAGAAATATAGTAGTAGAAAAAACTAAAAGAAAATATTCTTATGTTCCTTATTATACTTGTAAAACAAATATTATCAAATACTTTGAAGTCAGAAAAAAAATCAAAAATAAAATATGATGGTACAATCAAATTTAAACTTATGTAAGTATACGTTCGGCTATTAATTTAAGTTACTACATAATATTAAATTTCTTAGCTATATATAGTTTTCGATATTTTTTAAAATTTTGCAAAATTATGACTATATAACTATCTTAGATTAAGTTTTGAATTATGTTTCAATTAATTTATGGTTTCTTAATTTTTTCTAATAGATGTTCTTATAATTGAATGTCGATTTATGGCATTAAATATCGTCATATCGTAATTATATTATAATATTTAAAAGAATTTCATTTTTTTTAAAGCAGAATAAAAATGTGTAAGATATAAAATTATTTCTCAGCTCTTAGTTTTTATTATTTTATATTATATTTAATACATTGTATACTAAAAATAAGAGTTGTCATTGAATAATATCAACATATTTTCAAAGAAAAGAGCATTTTTTTTCTTCTGGTTTTAAGTATTATTTAAGTATAAAAATTAAAATACAAAAATTACTAAAAATAATAAGAGTAATATTTGAATGATTATACGACATAAATAACAAAAACTAGTTATAGTATTAATTAATACACAAAATACGACTAGACGTCAATGATTATAAATTTTAAAAATTATCAAATTATATCAGTCTTTATTAATAAAGTCTACAAAATTTCATTTTTGAAGATAATATCATCTTTGACTCTTACACAATAATACGATTATACGTATATCTTATTCAATAGGTACTGTATACGAATTATAATAACACCACGCTTTTAAAATAATATGATATGACACTTAAGACACTATTAAAACTATTTTTTTTCAGTATATGGTATAAAACGATCATTTTTTAAATATATATATTTATAATTAATCATTTCATTATAATCCATGTAGTAAAAAAAATATATTATCATATATACAAATGTTTGGATTATATTCCTTGTGCAAACCAAAATATTTGAAAATAATTATACTCGATAAGGGTTTTTATAGTATAATATAATAACATTAAACGATATTTCGCAATATTCGAATATTATGCATGGATGTTAGACATTAGTATGAGACATTATCATTATTTTCAAATACAAGCTTAAACTTAATCTATTTATAAACATACGGCAAAATCCAGTAACAATTGTTATTCTTCTTCTTTTTGTAAACATATAAATAAAAATAAATTATACAACAACAAAATAACGTTATTTCTTATGACTTAAACCTAATGGTAAGACTTAAACATTTTATTTATACCAAAATTAATTCAACTCTACTAATATTTGATTGAAATAATAATCAAAATTCTTATGAATTTATTAAATTAAAAAATGTAATTCAAACAATATTTACAAGTTATGAGAATTTTATTTTTAATATTTCTTATACCTGTCGCTTACGAAACGTAGTCAAGCTTTATGTATTAACAACACATTTATATGACACTGAAATTAAAAGAAAATTAAAATATTTTCAACACGACATGCATAAGTGTAATAATTCCAAATAAAATAAAACTAATATCTCACCTTACCTTCAATATTATATTTTAGTCGGATAAAATTGTTGACTTAGTAATATTTTGCATGTCGATTTCGTTTGTACATTGTTTTTTTTTCGCATGTTTGTTATAAACTCAGATTCCGCGTTACAGCGGATGGTGAGGAAGACATTTACACACAGCCTGTTTGGCATGCTGAGTGGACCAGGCAAGTGTTTATGCAACGTGATGCTTTTCTATTAAAAAAAAAAATTAATACAAACTATCCAAAACGTCATAACTGTAAAATATGTTATTTTTCGGTTACACGTTTTTATTTTTTTACTATTTTTATTATTATTATTTTTTTTTTTTTATTTATATAGAATAGTCAAAGGATTTCCACCAGTGTCACCGTACATAGGTGTCAGTCCCACATTGTGTTATTTATTAAAAGAAAAAAAACCACTGTGTTGCCTACAGCTAGCCCAGGTAAATATTATTATTTTTATATGACACATTGACACATATTAAGTATATCGGTTTTGTCATTTAATGTACAAGTTTAGATTTTTCATATAGGTATTTATTATTATATTAGCACAGTTGTTATAAAGTTTTGTTAAAAGTTATATTTTAAAAACATTAAGCGTATTATTTCAAAATCTATATGTAATTTTAGTTGGTCCAAAATTTTAAAAGTCAATGATAGTGATGATACAATATCGCTCAATAATGAGTGTAGCATAATTTATACACTTTTATAATATTATTTAAGTTCATGATTTTTTAAAATTATATTTAATAAATTACTTAATTAAAATTAAGTGAGGAATGAAAAAAAATTAAGTACCAGATATAGTGCATACTTATACATGTTATAAATATTTTATAATTAATGTATTAATTGATTGATTCGGAATTTTTATATAGCATCATAAAAAAAAAAAAAAAATCATAAAAATTGTATAGAATTATTAAATAGTATATCAAAAATTAGATACTTATTACTTATATTGTGTGCACAATTATCGAATTAAAATTAATCAACTTAAGCAAATTTTAATAATAACAGGTATGTGAGCATTGTGCTTACCGAAACGCCAATGACTACAATTGGCAAAATAAAACCATAATTTTAGCTGCCGATTACGCATCGAATGGAATTTACAATTTCATCATACCACTAAGGGCTCACTTTCATCCGAAGACATCTTTAAATCCGATCATTATACTATTAGAGCGACGTCCGGATATTGCGTTTCTAGACGCAATTTCATACTTCCCCCTTGTTTACTGGATGTTGGGATCCATAGATTGGTAAGAATGTGCAACAATCATTAGCATAGAAAAAATAGTAAAAACAATTTTAAAATATTTATAAATATTTGAAAATATAATGTTCAACAAGCAAGACAAATGTTAAGTATTAGCTGGGTCAAAAACAATGATTAAAAAAATATATAAATAGTACAAATTTAAACGAACTTCAGAGAAAAAAAAATTGTTTGTAAATTTTATTACATAACACACATACATTACATACATAATATGTATACTAAAATATGCGTTACATCTCTCCGATATTGTCGTAATACAAATGAAAACAATTATTTTTTTCTCTTTTTTTTCATTTAATTGTCTAGTGATCCTTGTTGCTACGGTCCGTATAAAAAATGAGAGTAGAGAACTGCGCATTTGACATTTCTGATTTACATTGTACTACAGTGTATTAATGTATATGATCTCTTAACCACAAACTATATGAGCTATGTATTTTTTACTATTTGTATTTGGTCTGTATCTTCTTTTTAAATAAATTAAGTAATCAATCAGATAAACTTGTGATAAACTAATACCGCATATATTGTGCGAAAATAAATATTATATATAGATAATAAATAAAAACATTTATGAGAAACGCGCATACGTCATATTATATATTATTATACAGAATAGATACATTGTTTAGCTCCAAAAAAATGATTTTAACAAAACTTATTATTATAATATATATTATGTTTGCCGTGTCTGATACTGACAGGATATTCAATACGTGAATAATCTGACAGCTTGATGAATTGTTGATAAACAAACTCACTAGTACCTATTTGTTGTAATATATTAGGTGCCTGAATAAATTATAAAAGTTTAAAAAAAAAAAACGTAACGTAAAAATCTTAAAATGTGTACAATTCTATGCCTGAGTTTGAAATAAATATGATTCAATAGAAATAAATCGTTGAATAATTTTTTACAAACATAACAGATATTACATCGATGAATATTAATAAATTACTAACAATAGATTATGATTATTATTAAATTTGAGGGTAAGATAAGAAAATAATAAGTTTACAAGGAAAAAAAAAATAAAATAAAATACATTTTCATCTCAAAATATAAATGCGTAGATCAATGTCTGTATGATTTATTTTAACAAGCATAGCATATTATAATTCTTCAATTTCAATTTTAAAACTGCTGAAATCGGATTTAACGATCCTGAAGCAATAGTAAAAACCTTATTTAGGCCAGATGTAAACTATTATTTACAAAATGCCTTGAAAAAAAATTAGCTTTCAGTTTCGCGTTAGATAGATTTCTAAAGTATATTTCCGTGATATGCTATCATGACTATTCGTACTAATCAAAAATATTTATAATTACAACATTACTATGCGTAACATCATCTAGATTTTTAATTAATCATAATACTATAATTAAATATATAGAATATTATCTTAAGTTATTGCCTATTCGTAAAAATAAATAAACAAAAACCACAAAAAAAAAAAAAAAAAATACAAAGCGGGTTCCTAATCTTATAATTTTATTAAATATAAAGTACCACGCAGCTTTGCATAATTGTTTAATTAAATGAAGCAACGCGTGTTATTTTATGTATAATTCATTAAAATTAGTAAAATAAATAAAAAAATTGTTGAAAAAAAAATATAAATTGATGCATTGTTAAACGTATTATAGATACGTTTTAATAATTATTATCACAATAAATGAGACATGATCCAATAGTCTATAATTAAATTATATTTGCTTATACTGTTTATATAAAATGTATAATACTATTCTGCAACATATATGTATGAATTACTTATAATTGCAATAACATAATTTTCAGTTTGGATGATCTCTTGAGAGCTGGAATATTATTAGCAGAAAACGTAGTAGTAGTGAATAAAGAGCTATCAAATTCAGCAGAAGAGGAAACTTTAGCAGACTGTAATACCATTGTAGCAGTCCAAACAATGTTTAAGTAAGTATTTTCCTTTTGAAAAACATTAATATTTCAAAATGATTTCTTAGATCTGATATATTACGTATAGAAACTTATTCCAATTGTACTGAATTGTTTTTCATAATTTAATAATATGTACATTAAACATATCCAATTTAGAAATTGACTATAAAAACTTTGTTTATATTGAATATTTAAAGTTGCTACTTGTATGATGCATAATATATACTTTGACATATATGTAATTGTATGATTTGCACAAAAAATATAGGTTCTTTCCTAACATTCGTAGTATAACTGAATTATCACAATCGTCCAACATGAGATTCATGCAATTCAGAGCACAAGACACCTATGCACTACACTTATCAAAAATGGAAAAAGTAAGTAAAATATTCTGAAAATCGATGGCCTCATTTCTCAGGTTGTAGATTAAATTACAAATTGGTAATCAAATACAAAAAACAAAATTTTATCACAATATGATAATACGTATTTTTACATATAAATAAATAATAAAAAAAAAATCATGGGATTCAATCAGTATGCATAGCAAACTTGTAAATTCTAAAAACTGCAGTTCATATGCAATGCATGTTTTGTATCATAATCTATGTATCTAATACATTATGATATGTCTATGTGTTATTCATTATATATTTTATAAATATTAGTAATGATTATTTAAAGTTTTAAACATTGACAGCGTTCGTACAATAATAAAATTAACATAATATCATGTTAATTATGTAAACAATACTACTTACTTGAATTTATATATGACTGATATTAGTACAATATTATAATAAACTAAGCCCGTAAACATTATTGGTTGTATAAATATTTTCACTCACAACCTTCAGAAAAAGGTGAACAATTTTTATTTTATGTTTATGGTTATTATAATACAATACACATAGGCGTACGTTGGAAGAAGCACAAGAAAGGACACTTCCATCTCCCTCTGAGAAATAATATTAACTTAAAACTAATAAATATTACCATGATATCGTTACCTAATAACTTAGACATCACAAAACAAAGAAATGTGCAGTTTTTATTTACTGATACCATTGATTTTACAATGTTTTATAATAAAATCAATGCCGTTACTAAATAATACATGTTATCATATTTTATTTTTTTGATTTTCTACTTTTTTCAGTACTTATTAAAAATTATCAATACAGATATAAATTAAATAAATAATAGCATATAATTATAGTGTATATTTTATATTTATATATTGAAATAACATTACACCTATATTTTGCTTAAATTTGAGATAAAAATTTTTTTTTGTTTCAAATATAGAAACCCGTAAGTCATGTATATATTTTATTACAATTTAAATTTATTGTAAAAATAATTTAAAGATATTTTTTGATTTATGTTTTTTTTTCTTCTTAAATAGCACGAAAAGGAAAGAGGCTCACATATATCATACATGTTTCGACTACCATTTGCGGCTGGTTCTGTATTCAGTGCTAGCATGTTAGATACGTTGTTATACCAAGCATTTGTAAAAGACTATGTTATTACATTTGTAAGATTACTGTTGGGCGTAGACCAGGCTCCAGGTTCTGGTTTCCTAACTTCAGTAAGTAACCATTACCGAAAATATTCTTAATTTATTATTTTTAAGTATTTTTAAGCCCAAATAATAATTTAAAAATATTCTACGTGTTAAATACAAAACCTGTAGACATTCATCATAAATTAGTCCTACTACTAGATGTTGTATACTTCAATTTTCTTTAGAGTTATATATAAAAATAAAAATAATATAAATTAAACAAACTGTTTTTACCGTAACCTAATATAAATGTTTACGATATAGATGAAAATTACAAAAGATGATATGTGGATACGAACTTATGGTCGTCTTTACCAAAAACTTTGTTCTACAACTTGTGAGATACCTTTAGGCATTTACAGAACTCAAGATTTATCGAACATAGAATCACCACCGGTACGTGCAATTTGCTTAATTATTACTAGTAGATTTTTCAATATTTTGTTTGTTCTCTTAACTAATTTCTTCACTGAATGCCAACCAATATACACGTTGATACTATCAACTTTCTAATTACCAGTTTATTCTTCTGTAACTTACAGGATGCATGTGGTACAGACTGCGATAAAATATCTGAGGTATGCATCTATAACTAACATCTATCAAATCATTACGTATATTTATTTCACTAACGCTTTATATTCTCACTTAGTCCTGAACTCATATCGCTTGCTTATTATTTCCTAAAAATAGGGTTCGGATCATGAAGCTTACATGCCCATTCCGACTAACTGTCTGCCTAATTGTCACAGGAACCAAAATTCTGTAGTGAGTACTTAAATAAATAATAATAAAATATTAACAGCCTTTAAAAATTATAACAAGAAATTCATTATTAACATAACCTAGATACCTAACATCCGACATAATTATTCGTTATAATAAATTCACAATAGTAATAAATTAACTGTTTCTTGGAAATCTAATTTAATTAATCATAGGTTTTTTAATAAGCTTGGTTTAGTTAAAATATAACTTAACGTTTTATTTACATATATTTTTAACAAATTCAAGTTTTAACTTAAAAAAAAGTACTTGAAACTTCAATTAAAGAGGTACGTAAAAATAAACAATTAGAAAAGAGCCCAAACAGCTCAAACTTTAAAGCTACAACATAAATTTAAATATTATTTATCGCCAAAAACTCGAATTATAAAAATATAATATATTATTAATATGAAGAGATATGAGAAAAAATGATACTAAAGTTTGACTCATATAATATGCATTTTCTCATAATTCAAAAGCATATAAAAATAAAAATAAATATGTTTATTTGTACTTTATAAACCCACAAAAATAACCAAATATACTTAACGTTTTTAGCAAAAAACCATAAATACCCATTCTTTGCTAATTCTAAAATACAAAACATACAAATATATTTCATACTACAGTTATATGCTCTTATGCTCTTAGTATAATGATATTGTAATTTAGAGTATTGTACTTCACATAATTTTAAAAATTATATTATATTAATTTTGGAAGTCACAATAAAAAAGTAATGCATGTCATGAACTTCTTTTAATGCATCTTATTAGCAATCCTTATTGCTTAAACGATATTATGCATTTTAACAAATATTAATCTTTATACCAAATTAAACACAATATATAATAATTTTTACATATTCAATACTTCCTATCTTATTTCAAATATGCTTAATGTATACAGTTGTGCTAAAATGTTAAACAGTTTAGTCTGAAAATAAGTAGAATATATTACAACATTTTTCATAAATTATAGTAGAAACTAAATAGAGAATTAAATGTATAAATATAAGTATTTAACTGTAATAGTATACTGTTAATTATTTTGAAAAACTACTATTTTGTATTTATTCATAAAATGTATATTAATATTGATCAAAATACTATTTATTAATTGTTGATAATCAGTTGATTAAACCAATATCAATTGAACGTGAAAAATTCTAGATTGCAATTTAAAACAAATCTTTTTTTACTAATAAACTGTTATTCTTAAATATAAATTTTAATTGTATAAAAAGTGGAAAAAGTGCACACAAATTTTAGTAGATAAAAGTTACATGCATCACACATAATTTCTGCCTTCAATTATAATTAAAATCAACACGAAATTATTCTTATTCTTTCCTTTACCCTTAATTCAAAGATGTGTCAATTAATTGCAAATGTAATTTAATTATTATAATTTATTTAACAATATTATTGTCATGCTAATAAATGATTATTTTAAAAAGTAGCAAAGGGGAATAAAGATTCTTCTAAAAAATAACAGTCAAGGAAGAAAAGATTTTATTTATGTAAATTATTCTATAACTTAACCATTAATTGTCAAATAGCATCAATTTAATCACCCTTTATTATATTGATTACCTATCTACTACTTATATGGACCCAATTTTTAGGGATTTTTTTCAATATTTATCAGTAAATTATTCACTTAAACAATATCAATTTTTTATTAATTATTTTATTAACGTTTGAATAAGTTTATAATACCTATATTTTAATTATCTATTAATAAATATCACGAAAAATAACAATGTTTGAATCAATAAAGTCATTAAGGTATTTAAACAAAGTAAAAAATAAATACACATATTGGTATTCTATATTATAAAATGGTGAAAAAAAAATAAAATATATAGTGAAAATCCCAATAAAAGCCCTTCATTATTTTTTTAATCCCTTAAAGTTGTAGTACAAAAAGTTGGACAAGTTAGACATGTGTCTCATTTCATTAATTGGGGTAAATAACAGAGTTTTATTTATTATTTTTTTTTTTTTTTTAATTATAAAACATTAATGAATAATCACATTTGAAACGAAATTCTGAATAAATCTCAGTTTATCAGAGTATTTAAACGATGTTTTCCAAATTTAAAATACAATAATGAAATATAGGTATGTATTTTCTACATATCATAATAAATATAGAAATATTAAGTTAAATATCATGTGAAAAATGTTTTTAATTTCAATATTTTTACAATATTTATTTTTATTACAATCACTTCTTAATAAATAATAAAATGAAACAATTGCAATAATATTAATTTAATTAGTATATATATATATATATATATATATATAAATTACACATCGAATTTTACCATAGACTTTTTCTATTCACGAACAAATAATAAAAATATGTGATTTAAGTGTCTAGTATTTGTTAACCAAATCATAATTAGTATTAAATTCTTCATTGACTAATGAAGAAATAAAATAATTAGGTTAAATAAAAATGTAACTGTAATGTCGCAGACATTTCACGAGAAAATAACCCAGTTTCCAGAGAAATAATCCAGGATTTTATTTCATCCAATGAATATTCGTGTTATTGTACTAAAATATAAATATATTGCATTCGTGCGCATTTGTAATTTACTCAATGTCACAATGCAATTAACAAAACTATAATATACCGTTATTATTTTTTATTACTAAAATACTATGATTGAACTATATTTACAGTTTTCAATTAATATGCATGATGATGCTCGAGATAACCATGACAACTTGATCGAGCGAGCGGAAATAGTAAACTTAGTCAGATCCCGAATGGACAGTTTGAATTTACCCGCCGTCGACCACGAAGAAGTCAGCGAGAAACGGAGCAGTCTATCATACGTCATTATCAACCCCAGTTGTGACCTCAAACTCGAAGAGGGTGACATTGTGTAAGAGACACTTTAAATTCAAATTATAAATGGCTCGATTTCATCTCGTTTTTGTAATTAAACATAAATTACTTGTTTTGTTATATTCTCTTATGAATATCAATATCAATTTACACTGGCGCAACGTATTGTTCATGCGTAAAACAATAAAACTAAATCGTCCCGTTCTGACAGCCTTCTAATTTCCCAGGTATATTCTACGCCCAAGCCCGTTCTCGGCTCAAAAAACGTTCGAAAGGCACAACAGCCGACGAAAGTCTAACATAAGTTTCAACTCGACAATCGGACAACTGGGCTTCGGTTCGAGGAGAGGGTCGAGTATGGCGTTCCCTCCGTTCATGACCAGGCCACCGCCGTTAGTCACCACCAAAGCAAATAGCTTGTCATTACCGGACAGCCCGACTGTGAGCAGCGCCCTCCGAGCTCGGTCCAACTCTCTGCGTGTAGTCGACGACATACTGTTGAGACGGTCCAATTCGCTTAGACAGGGACTTTCCATGTGTAACCGGAAGAGCAGCCTCGAAGAGTTAGGAGTATCGCACTTCCCTATCGGGTCAATCGCACACGAACGTAGACCTAGCATGCAAGTAAGCCTAAGTGCTCGATCAATGAGAAATATCGTCACTGCGCGAAGGCGGTCTGAGGTAACTTTGTAGTTATTTCAGCTAGCCTCAATAATGGTTATTGTAATATGCACCACAACGGCTTGACATTAGAACTATATAGAGATTGCACTTGTAACTCAGTTATGAGTAGATCACAGCAGTTATTATTTTTTTCATTTTTCGACGTTTTCGTGTACTCACCTGTATTAATCTCATTGTAATCACGATTTAATTTAATCGTCTATCTATGTTTCGAACCGCGTGCGACTCTAATGTACGCGTACGCTGTGTCAAATTTGAATTCGATCTTTGGGACGTTCGTGTATTCACATCAAAACCTACTCTCCCATACATCTACTTTTAAATGTCCATCATTTATTTTCCACGGTGGTTTTCATAAAATGCGTGTAAGCTTATTAAGTAAAGGCGTACTGTCGACCCGGGACAGGGGACTTTTTGATTTCATCGCCACCGACGCATGCGTATTACGTATTGTAATCTATATAGTCTACATAGGTAGTTAATATTGTCATTCAGTATATTACGTTGTATGAATTATAATATTATGGTATTAGTTACACACTCGACGGCAATAATAAGTAGACTACTAAATCATCACGTCCGATTCAAGGCGTACTATTTATGTTATTGTTATAGCGAATGAGTATTATTTTATAAAATAATAATATTAAGTAGAATATCATATTAATTACCGACCGTTATTATCCATTTGACGTACAACATTCGTTTTCACAGTCAATTTTTTATAATTTTTATTATCTACTTATGTTTGTAATTAAATAATAATTAATTTATCACAATTCATTACATTATATGATAGTTCCTATAGGCTATATTATGTTTTCCCAAAAAGAAAACCAAACTTTGTCTATTTTTACTGCTATAATAATTAATTAAATGTAGTTGTTGACTTATAATTTCTGGTGAAAAAAAAAAATAATAATAGAGTTTGACAAATTTTTAAAATACCAATCTCAAAATCTCTCGACATACGCAATCATTATTGTTCGTAGTTTTCAAACAGAAATACGACCTTACGTCCTCAGGTGAAAAAAAACTTATTTTAGTTATGTACTTCAAACTTTTATATCATTACAACTGCACAAAAGAAAAATTGACTAAAAAAACGAGTGTTTTGCGTCAAAAAATAAAATAATAATAATAATAAAGCCCATATTACACGAAATAATAAAACTTTAATGAGTAAGTGCCTTCGCTTCCACTACCTCTACAAACACCGTCGTATCCACCACTTATAACCATCCCGTAATAATATATCATTGCACAGCGCACGTTGAGGCCACAAACCTTCTTCGCTCTGCAATCGAGACCAAGGGCGCCCAAATGGGAGAGGGGTCAAAGGAGGGACATGTTGAAAAATTGTTTACACAAGATCTACAATGAGTGAAGATAGGCTTGATGGATTATGCATGATAAGCGTACATAGGGAAAAAAATTGACGATAAAAGTAATAAATATATTTGGTGTTAAAAAAAGAAATTTCCAATTTTTATTTGTAAATTAATATTTCATTAATTTATATTATTAATCAAATGAAAATTCAATAAATAACTTTTATGGTTAATCGGTTAAATAATTATTATTTCATAATCTTCCAGTTTGATTTATATAAAATATGATAGTATGATGTTAAATTGTAAACCCCTTCCTATCTCATGGACATAATTAAAATTTTGTCTCCCCCCCCCCTCGAGAATTTTTCTATGGGCGCCCTTGATCGAGACCACCACCACCCCCGTCCCACCACCAACACCCCTACCGAGACGTGATATCACCCGCCACCCCATCACCCGCTGAACCTAATCGGCCGCGACCGACAAATGTCTCGGGCACGACGACGCTCATGCCAGCCACCGTTGTCTGTTCGCAGCTGCACCCGAGCGAGATGAGCGGCAGTGCCATAAAGATAGCGCTGAACGGCAGCATCGGGCTGGAGGTGACTCCGCCGGAAGAGGTGTCCTCGCCCGGCATGTCCAGCAACACGAGCATGGTGACGGTGCCGTCGCTGCACCATCCGCCTCTGCCGTCACCGGCCATGTCGCCGCACTCGTCGCACGAACACTTGCAGGGCACGATTGTATGATACAACTTGATGTGGGGCAAACGGAAGAGCAACAACGCTCGCAACAAGTGGCTGTGAACGCGCACGTCACTCTCACGTTCTTACCGATTGCTTCCACATCCGTCCACCGATATTGTATTACATTCTTTTTTTTTTTTTTTTATATATATATATAAAAAATTGTTCTATATAATATAATAATAAAACATGTCATCTCACGCGCGCGCGCGCATCAACGACAACGACAGACACGCGAAAATTTTATTATCGTTTATAATATTTTATGATACACACACACACACACACACACACATACATACACACACACACACACATACACAAACACAAACACACACACGAATAATACACGCGCTCCGTTGCGAGGCGTCAGCGTTGAACGTGCCACGAGCAGCTAAACCGAACGAACTTCATGACTTTTTTCCGCGATAATTAATTCGAATTTCAGGACATCGAGAGATTTAATTTGAATTCGTCTTGTCCATAGACGAATTTAAAATGAAAACACCGTACGAAACACGAAAATAAAGACGACAGTGTCTTGGCGAGTGTTTCAACACGGTTTTCGGACATTTCGAGAAGAAAAATGTTTACGTAATCGCTACGAAACGCGTTAAGGCGCACTCTTAATATCCGACAATCCATTCCGAGTAAAACCCTGGCTTAACGTTTCACGGGTAACTCTGTAATACTATACAGTCTACATCTGCACACACAAGACACGTACACACACACAATGCGCGTACGCACTTGCGTACTGCGATATTTCGCTTTTATGTGTATATGTATATTGTATATAATATGTAGAAAATGAAAAATCGACATATCTGTAACAAAACATCACTTCGCATTCTTACGTCCTACACCGTATTCGCATTCACCGCCATTCTACGTATACATATTATTTTTAACTGTGCGTGAAATTTTCGAACGTGGTTGATATTTTTCTTTTCTTCCAAGTACCGGCACCGGCACGGGGGGAAATCAAAATTATTATGTGCCAAAATAAATATGCACATAACTACTATACGTAATAATATGTGTGTGTATAATAAATAATGTTATTATATAGGTGTGTGAAATCGTGAGAAAAATAAATTTCATTTGGTTAGAATAGGAAACTTATGGAACTTATAGGGTAAAGAATAAACTGGTAGATAGGTACATACGACGCGTCGGTTGGCGGCGAAACGGCTTTTATTTTATTTGAGATGATCTTTATTACCGACGAACAGGGTTTCATACGATGTTGTTATCGAGTGAAATTGTCCGTGACCACATGGGTAACTGTGCCATGCGATATATACATTTTATTCTAATAGGTGGTTCTACGATACGCTCTTATTTTTTTTAAGCCCATCACGTTATTCTAAATAAAACAAAACCTTTCCCAGCTACTCGTTCCACTGTTACAGCATAAAAATAAAAAACTTACCGTAAAAACACATATCAGTCAAATATTTCGATGTTTTACGTATATTTGATATTTCAAACGATTAGTAATCGACGATATTAATTATCTATTAAGTACACAATTTATTTCATTTTGTTTTCTTTTTTATACATTTTATTATTCACTGAACAACAACCATATCATTATTGATGTCATACACCGTGTTTGTTTTGCGTTACAATATTCTCTGCGCTAATAAACATCTTATTGTAACTACAATTAGTTATAATTCAAGTTACATTATAATGATGTAGGCGGTTCATAAGAATATACATATATCATTGATTCCAATTTCCCGATTTTTATTACACTTTACAAAACTGATCGACATTTATAATTTATAAATTATTTAATTATTTCTTTTACTGTATGGAGTTTAAATAACTTAAACATTAAGTAATTACAGTAATAATAAAAAAAAAAAAACATTTCTAGATAACACATTTACTAAAAACAGAAAAAAACATTTTTTTTCGTAGACTTTGTTTTGTCTTTGTTTTGAATACAATAATAGATACACGGACGTCGGAGATACTCCAAGATAAAGTTAAAATACAATGTTTTATCACTATTATCATTTACGTGTTTCAAAATCCATAGACAATACTTATACAGTTAATGAATTAAATTGCTTCCTATCTCTGTTATGAGTTCATACATTTTTTTTTTATATATAAATTCAATGGTGAAATATTAGAATTTTAAACATTGTCTTAGATGAACGAAACAATAATAATATTAACTATTGTAATTTATTTTGCATTAATACGTATTAAATAAAAACAATATAATCTCAAACTTTTGAAAAAACAAAAGGTTTAGTGTATATTAAAGACAGATGCAAATTAAACTAATAGAAGTGGGTTCTCGATTTTTGTTAATCTAAAATTAAAGAATAGATAAAACTTGTTGTCGCTCTATATTATGTTACTTGTTATATACTTAGATATAATTATATACATATTTTCTTACTTGCACGCTTTATTGTATTATTATAGTTATGTTTATAGATTGTGACCCAATTTTACGTTCTTGTTGATGCCCATAAAAATGTATACCTAATGTTGTAAATCGCACGTTTTTGTGTAATTGATGAACACGCAAACCTGGGACCATTTGATTTACCGATACGCGATTGATTTGAATGTTATAGTATGGTAGTTTAAAATGAAAGAAAATGTTAAAAGTACCAATAAGTATATCTTGATATTGTTCGATTAACTCAAAGTAAAAAATTAACTTAAACTGTAGACATTTTATATAGGACATCGCCAAGGTGATAAAATTTGTCTAGACTTTAGTTCCTATATATTTATGGTTCTATTTATATAAAAATGTATGGAAATCATACAAAGTAGACTTGACCGATAAATGTATGTACATGTATATTTATATTTTAAATCGTAGACTATTAATTGTCGTATTATTAAATGTATTAATGTGATAGCATTATTTTCTTATACTACGAGTACAATATCACACGCTGACATTTTGGTATATGCGATATTGTTCAACTGTGGGAACAATGATAAATAATAGAGACTAATAATCTTACTCTCGAACCCTTGTATCTTTTGTATTGATATAACTAAAAGCCTTATTAGCATAAAGTTATCTTTACTGAATAATTATTATATGAAATAAAAATTTAAAAATGAATTCAAACAATATTGTTGTAAATATTTTTAATTCCAAAACCCAAAACCCAATATCGATATTATATTATATTATTTCTTTATCTGATTATTAATCATCTTCAGGTTCCAATACCTGTTCTTTAAATTCCGATCTAACATTTCCGGGTGGATCATAATTACACACTACGTATAATGTACCGGATCCAAGACTTTTAGAGACTCCAACACCAAGCTCTTCACTGTCTTTCCAAACTACTTGAGTAAAGTGAACTGAAAAAAGAACAAAATAATTTCACTCATCAATAATTAGCAATCAAAAAGTAAGTAAATAGAAAAATGTTTGTTGTTTTATACTTTTGAATATCGTTTGGTAATATTTATATTATGTAATTTAAATTAACAAGTTAATCTGTTTATAAAAATGTTTATTTGTATATTTGTACATAATGCAAATACTGAACTTCAATAAATTAACTTATGTAACTTAATTTAACATGTACAATGTATAAATAAACACCATAGACTATAATACCTTAAATTAATAATGTATATGATCTATGATCTCAATAATAGGTATACCATACAAAATACTATATTATATTTATGGTCAATTAAGGTGTGATTAAAACAAAAATAATTCTAATCGTGTTTAAAATTACTACTATTAAAAATAAAATGTATTTATCAAGTTTAATACCCGGCACTTTTTAAACATTTTAAACGTTTGATAGCTAAACTTTTAAGTGGTCCAAAAATAATGTTTTATGAAAAAAACATTTAAAATAGACAATAGTTAAAAATGGTTTTAAAAATTACATGCTTTTTTGGAAGCAGCCATGTCATCCTCTGATCCTTGAAAATCAAAAAATTTTATTTCATTATACCAGCTGTTTACTGCTTTAACACCCAATTCGGTCACTTTATCTGTTGACTGAATATAATAAATATTTTCACCATAAGCATTATTTGGGCGATGAGATGCTATGTCAGTTTTGGCCAACTCATCAGCCCAATTTTGACTAATTTCATTCAACTTTGAATTAATTCTTAAAGGAGGCACATTGTGTTTTTTTCTGTAAAAGTTGTGCCTAACCAAGGCATCTGCTATAACGTTTTTTGTCTCGTCATTATCTTTCTGTATCTCCATATTAATATATATTTCGTAAACGTCAAGGAAATTATTTTATAATTTTTTACTAAAGAATAAGATTAGTAAGCTAGCATAAAATATTCAAGCCAGAAAAAAATATTGTTAATTGTAAACTCTTAGAAAATCTTTAAATATTATTTAACTGTAGGTAATATAAAA